CTTTTTCCTTACTGGGATTTTATTTTCTTGATGATATGGAATTAGAGTTCCAAACTCTCAATAGCAAGCACATAACAGGATTGAGCCAAGGCAATCTGTACGTACCACCTTCGTGGTCAATAAGTTTTCACAACCCTTTGTTATGATGAACTACATCCCTATTACTTGGATAGAGAATAATGGAAATACCTACACAATGTATATTTGATAAGTTAGACGTTCTGAACATAATTAAAAAGAACTACATGACCAAATTTTTTAGTTGTCATGTAGGTTCGCTCTATCAAAACTAATTTATATGTTCTCGTAAACAGTAAATTCTATGAAAGTTTTTTTGTTTTAATTGAACTCCGATTGTATCTAGATGTATGTATGCTATAAATCCCGACCTGTACATGATATAAAGTACAAATACACTAAATACAGATCAAGACATAAAACTCGCCCTCTAAACAAAACTTACGAGAAAGTTTAAAGGAGAGGTACTATCTCCTTTACATATTATGCGACCATAATTTCCACAGGACCATGCTACATGTACAAAATGACCAGTTTGTAAAACATTAGGTAAAACATTTTGTACATTTAGATTTATCCATTTCCACAACAAGACTATCAATATACCTAAATAATTCCACGCACGTTCAGATCAAGTAGCTTCAGCAGCAGGACCAGTTCAACCACAGATCATAGTCATGGGGCAATTCATCACTTCAACTGTGATTGAAGTGATCTCCAATGAGTTGAATCTAACTTCTGAAAAGAAAAAGTAACATAATTGACTTAGAAAATCTTTTGGAATCTATGGATAGAACTTTTATCAATCCTCACGCTAGAATGGGCCCTACCTAGCAAGAAAATAACCAAGTTTTGAGAACTATTTTTCATTAAAAAGAAACAGAATAGAGTGGACTTCAAGTCTTCAACCAAGTTGAGGATTAAAATTATGATTCTTGTATTCATCTTCTCAATAATTGGTATTATGAATTATATGTAATGAAGTTACTACGAAGGATCGTATTTTCTTTGAAATGATTATTTTAAGTATTTTGGAATTGAAAGGATGTAATGCAAAGAATTATAATATGTTAGGTGAAATAGAGATACTATTGATGTTTTTAGATTATATAATTCAACTGACGGAGATTTTGAATTGAATCTCTAGGTCGCTCATTTACGAAAATTATATATATGTCAGAATTTTAATAAGCATTACATTCATTCTGCATGTGAGGGAAGTTGTACAAGACTAAATTGAAGTAAACAAGTATTTTAATCTTTAACAACTTGAGCAACATACCTTTTACGTAATAAGATCTATAGACATGTTACGTTCTGTGGTACCAAGTCTTGAATTATTAAAAAATAAAATATCTATAAGATAAACATAACAGTGTTATAAAAAATACGCCTAGAAGCGAAATGTGGGCAAAACATCTTGCTTCATACCTAGGCGCTTCTTTTCTTATATGTAATGAAGTTACTATGAAGGATTGTGTTTTCTTAGAAATGATTATTTTAAGAATTAAGGAATTGAAAGGATGTAATGCAGAGAATTATAATAAGTTAGGTGAAATAGAGATACTTTTGAAGTGTTTAGATTATATAATTCAACTGATGGAGATTTTGAATTAAATTTTCCTCACTCATTTACGAAAATTATATAAGCTCCTGTTTGATCCACATTATTAAAAAAATTCATTCTTTCAAAATTCATTTTCAACTACACATTTTTCAATAAAATAATATTACACGTAATACAAAAATTTTCTTTATTTATTAACCACGTATTATTATATGTAGTGTGTAGTGTAAGTGAAATTTATCGAGTACAATTTATTGCCATGGTAGTTGAGTTTACTTCTTAAAAAATAGGTTCAATAATTGGTCAACGATGACTGCAAATTATTCCATCTTTATTCATGAGAGAGAATGTCATTCAAAACTCATCAAATGATAGAAGAAAATGCTACAATATTGGATTTTTGTTGTTGTTGAAATTCAACTTAAATTTGTCATATATGAAAATGTTGCATTTGTACGATCAACCTAATTAACTCTTTTCTCCAACTTAGTGAAATTTCCTTGAGATTCAATTTGTAAGGGTATGTTTGATTGTGAGAGTGAAATTTGAGTGGAAAGAAAATGAATTTCAGGGAATTGAATTGTTTAAAATTGTTTTCCTCAAAATTATCAATTAATTGTGTTTGATTGATATGATTTTTCACGTGAAAAATATTTAAATTTTGGATCTTTAGGTGTTCGTTTGACTTTATTTTTTTTTTATGGAAATTGTTTATTAAAGGATTTTTTTTTAATTTTTACAATTTGTGATAAAATTTATGTCCATTATCAAAGGTTTTTTTTTTTTTTTTTTAAAAAAATTAACATGGAAACCATTTTTCCCATGAAAAAAGG